CTGTGGGCGGGACTTCCGGAAGGAACCTTACTCTCTATTGGCTAACCTGTGCGGCAAGGCCCGCCCCTTTGGGTGAGTGGTTGGCTGAGGGAAGCTTTTCCGGTGACCCATTTCCGTTACTTGCGCTGTGGACCGGGGCCGCCGGGGTCGGTGAAGGTGAGTAGGGTTGGGACGTTGGGTCCGACCCCAGGGGGTTCCTCTGCTCTTTCGCCTGCAAACCTCGCGCCGGCCCTTGTCGCAATCCTGCCCAGGACGCCAGGCGCCGCGGGTGCCTCGCTGGAAGAGTGGCCGGGTGGAGCTGGTGCCGCTCTGCTCGCGCGAGAGGTCGCAGGGGCCTGGCGGGGACCTGGTCACCTTTAGGCGCTTCCACAGCCCCGCTCGCGTCCCGTGCGCCCCGGGGCGGCTGACCGTAGAGGTCCGGTTTGGGGGCTGGAGCAGCGTCTCCTGAAGATAGTAATGCAGCTCGGTGCATCCGCCCCTGCCTCCCGAGGGTTCCGGCTTTCGAGCTGCGGGCGGGTCAGAGCCCCTCAGCAGATCCTCACGGAGCACCTCCTGTGCACGATCGGTTCTAGGCGCTGGGGGTTCCCCAATAAGTCAAAGACAAAACCCCCTTCACTTACGGAGCCTCCCTGCTCCGGGTGCTGGGAAAGGTCTCTTTAAGGAAGCTGTTCCTCTGGCATCTTCAAAATCCCCTGCCCTCGCCTCCATTCCAGGAAGCAGGCTGTCCTGAGTGGGAAGGAAAGGAAGCGGCAGGTGTTGGGCACGTTTCTTTTTAAGATCCTGGGGCAGATTGACGACCACCCCATCCCTCCCTGTGCTCCACCCCATCCAGTGGTTCTCCACCTTCTGGCCCTTTAAATACAGTCCTTCATGTTGTCACCCAACCATAAAACTATTTTCGTTGCTACTTCATAACTGTCATGTTGCTGCTGTTATGAATCGCAATGTAAATATCTGATATGCAGGATGGTCTTAGGCGACCCCTGTGAAAGGGTCCTTCGAAAATTATTTTCATTGCTACTTCATAACTATAATTTTGCTACTGTTATGAATCGTAATGTAAATATCTAATATGCAGGATGTATGTTCAGGGGTCGCGACCCACAGGTTGAGAACCGCTGGTAGACCTTGGACATTTCAGTCAGTCTCCTGATGTCTGACACTGATCTTATTTCGTTTAAGTGGGCTATTTTACTCTATTCTGGCTTATTATTTAAAAAATGGCGGTGGTGGGTGCGCAGTAATCAACCAAGAACCTTGTGTGCGTATATGCATGGCCCATGGCCACAGACAACCAGGCTGGAGGGGGCCAGTGGGGGGAAAAGGGAGACATACGTAATACTTTCGACAATAAAGAATTATTGAAAACAAAAAGGCTGTAATCATTTTCCTTCTTGTCTCACATTCATATATATATATATATATATTTAGGGTGTTGCCAGTATACTCAAGAGTGTGTGCTGGTGTTGCAGGGGACACATCAGACAGGAGTAAGAGGGCAGACATTGCCGATCTGATAGGGAGGGCATAGAGAGCCTCTTAAGTTTGTAGAAAAATGTAGAGCAAGTTGATGTGCACGATTTCACTTGATACTTGCAACAGCTTTCTGAGGTATGCAGGGCTGATGACGCCCTCACTTTCCAGGTGGGGAATTCTGGTCTAGAGCCTGCTCTGTGGAAGCCTTTGTGGGAACTTGGGTATTTGTCAGCTCTGTGCACTGGAGAGCCAGTGAATAAAACACAGTTTGAGTGGAAATGCATTTAAATTACATTTTTAACTTTAATGCAAGGCATAAGTATGACTTCAATATTTCCAAAGGTATGTGAAAAACAAACACTGGAGAACTGGGGTTTTCAGGGAGAGTTAGGAGTTGGAGAATAATGGGAGGAGCATTTAGGGGGAGGAGAATATATTTACATGTCAGGTTGCACACCTTGAATTTGAAGAGCTACGCTGTCCTTTTCTGATTCAGTCATCCTGATTTCTTTATAAGTACGTCCTCCAAGCACTCGGAGGACGCGGATCCGTTTCTGAAAGACTTAAATGTTGCCAAGGTGGCCTCTGTAGGATTCTCTCCAAGAGCCCAGTGTTGATCTGACCGGTTTTATTTTCCAGGATCTCAAGATGGCTGGGCGAAAACTTGCTCTAAAAACCATTGACTGGGTAGCTTTTGGGGAGATCATACCCCGAAACCAGAAGGCCGTTGCTAACACCCTGAAATCCTGGAATGAGACCCTCACCTCCAGGTCAGTCCCTTTTCTTGCTTTTTTTTGGAAGAGAACAGTTTGGTAAATCCTGGAGGTAGAAAAAGTAATTCCCCGAAGAAAGGGGCTTAGGAAACAAGTTCCAGAGGTAAAGGAAGGGCCCTGGGAGCTTGGGAGTGAGGAGGCTAATGGTGAGGTGCCTGGGGCGTGGCTGGAGGGGAGGGGCAGGGGAAAGGCACAGGCTTGCTCCCTGGAGGGAGAGGCATGGGGTCCTCCATCCTGAGGGTTCTAAGGGCGGAGATTTTAGGGGCGGTCCCAGGGGAGGATCATAATGGAACATCCAGCAGCTTCCCAGGTGTGTCCTTTCAGGTTGTGGGCTCCACTGATTGACTGGCGGGCACCAGGGCACAGGGTCGTTAGTGCAGCTGCGCCTGAGGTCAGCCATGCTGGTTTTGCTGCCTCTCTGGGCCTGGAGCTGAACTACCACTGAGGCCTCGATGGTATCTTAAGGCACATTTTTTACCTACTCCGTTTAATTTTAATCTTTACAAGCACTCGATTCTATTTTTCCTAACGCGACATGTTGTGAAGATAAGTCGTGGCGGGATTAGATTTCTGAGTGTCATACAGCCGGTAAATGGTGGGAGAAGGATTCGAGCCCCTGTGTCCAACTCCAGGCTCCCTGCTCTGAACTACCAAACACAGTGCCTCTGGGAGGGGAGCCGTGCAGGGCTTTCTGGGATATCTGACCCTGAATCTCCTTCTTTTCCTCCCATGGAAAGAATAATAACCAATTGATGTCTCTCTCACATCGATGTTTCTCTCTGTCTCTCCCCTTCCCTTCCAGTCTCTCTAAAAATCAATGGAAAACATCCTCAGGTGAGGATTAATAATAATAATAATAATAATAATAATAAAAGACAAACTCTTTGTGAACATCTTTTATGTGCCAGGCACTGTGCGCAGCCCTGGGGCTATAAGAGTGAATGAGATTGGGCCCCAACCCCCAGGAGCTTACAGGCTAGAGCGGGAGTTAACAAACTCTTTGGAAAGGACCAGATAGTAAATATTTTGGGCTTTGTGGACCATGCGGTCCCTGTCACATAAACTCAAAATATTTTGTGCCATTAAAGTGTGAAACAGCTATAGACATATGGAAAGAAATGAGCATGAGTATGTTCTAATAAAAATTTTTGAACTTGTGTAAGTTTTACATGTCACAAAATATTACTCTTACCATTAAAAAAAACCCAACACTTAAGAATGTAAAAACCTGCCCTGGCCGGTGTGGATCAGTGGTTAGAGTGTTGCACTTGCACTCAAGGGCAGGTTCGATCGCTGGGACTTGTGCAGGAGGCAGCCAATTGATGTATTTCTTTCACATCGATGTTTCATTCTCTCCCTCTCATTCTCTTCCCCCCTTCCCTTCCACTCTCTCTAAAAAAATCAATGAGAAGAAAATATCCTTAGGTGAGGATTAAAAAAAAAAAGAGTGTAAAAGCCATCAGCTTGTGGATAGTACAAAAACAGGTGTTGGGTAGGGTTTGGCTTGCAAGCCATGGTTTGCCCACTTCTGTCTAGGGGACAGGCACAAAATGCAACGGCTTATCAGAAATCGGAACATTAGGAGGGAGGGGAAGTGATGAGAAGGGGCACAGGGGCTCTGGGGGTGCCCGCCATGTTCTAATTCTTGACCTGGGCCGTGGCTACATGATAACATCTTGTGATAATTGATCAAACAGTACACCTCTGGTTTGTACACTTTTCTGTTATACTTCAATTAAAAATAATAAGACAACATAATAGGTAAACGGGGTCGAGTGTTAGAAGACAAGAAGGGGCCCGACACCAGCTTGGGAGAGGATGGGTCAGGGAAGGCTTCTCCGAGGAAGGGTTTGACAGAGGGCCCTCGGGAGAAAAGGAAGCCGGAGCTGGTGTTAGGCTTGCTGGGTCAGATGGGACCACGGATCCTGTCATTCAAAAATATACTTTGCTCATCGTGGGTGTGTGTTTTGTTTTTTGCATTAATTTTGCTCTTTTAAAATGCTGCATTAAATTATTATTTATGTTGATCACTGTGGCTTTTGGCTTCAGTTTTGCACTGGAGGCCAGTGCCTCCCTCACCGCACACGATTCCAGCCCTTGGTCAGGGTCAGGATCTCCGTCCACAGCACCTGGGGCAAATCGCTCCTTCCACTTCCTCACCTACGGAAAGGGAAGGGACCCGGCAGGACAAGGTCTCCGTGGATGAAAAAGGGGTTCTACAGAAGGTAACCTCGCAGGGTGTTTCGATCATAGATTCCTAAATGGGCAGGTCTATGTGGGTAGTCATGCCCCAGGCCTATAACTTCTTCAGCAAAAGGCTTTTAAGCCAGCCCTGTCCATTGCTTTTGTGCATATAGGTGAACACATTTTTGAAATACCACAAGTAATACCTCTCAAAGAGGTAAGCGCCCTCAAGAGAGCACACTACCTAGTTAACCATCCTGTAGTCCAAACCCTACCTTGCCTTCTCCCACCTTCATATAATCTCCCTTCTTAATTTCAAATGCATAAAAGAAACTGCAAAACTTACTCTCGGGAGCATCTGAGATCTTGCTTCCTGGCAAACTGTCATCAGTTTTGGCTCAAACACATTTTTATAAAAATTCTCTACAGGTTTAGGCATTTCTTATGTGGGCATCTTGGCGGGGTCACGCCTGTATAGCACCCTGATAAGTGAAAAGGGCCGCCGAGTTCCAGGGGGAGCCCCTTTTTAAGGGACTTCCGGGTTTGCTTGAACTCACTGGTGATTGGCTAGCAGGAAACCAGCCAGGCAGGAACTACCTATCAAAAGGGAAAGGCGCTTGCGTCATCAGCCAGCGACGAGAGGCTAAGTAAACTCCTCTCTGATTGGCTCCCTTCTTCAAGAGGGGTTGAAACAGCGATGGGGATTTGCTCTTTTTTAACTCCGGACTTCAGATAACGGGAGAGAGGGTGAAGATTGGGGAGCAGTTTATTAAGTCAGGCAGGGACCGGAAGTCTTGGGGGCGGGCCTTCAGCAGAAGCGGGTGGATCCAAGGGCGGGCTTCTCCTCTGGGGGCGGGATTCTTTCCGGCTTGGGGGTGGAGCAGCAGCGCTGTGCTTCCCCAGCGCGCGGGAGGCGGGGTTTGGGGCG